CTGACTAGTGGGTCTATTAAATTTACCAATGGATGAACGTGGACAGATAACAAGAACTGAGTTGGAAGTAAATCAAATGCAACAGAAAAATCCGTAAGGTGTTGGAAGCTACTAACCTTTCGATATGTACTGTAGAATGGAGCGACAAGTGGAGCCTACAAACAAACTCCGACAGTATGCGTAACCCATGTTCATTTAATATTACTGAGCCAATTATGAGGGATTTAACATGGAGCCCATCGCCTGAAGGTTCAGAACATCTGCGGACGGGAAGTCTAACCACTACATTGCTGATAACCGAATTCCATGGAGTGAATCTCTTGAGGAATGACTGGAAAGCAGCCCCTGATCCAAAATCAGAAAAAACTGGATAAAGTGGGCTAAGTGTAATTCAGAATTTCTGCGCCACATGAATGGGCAGTAGTACGAATTATTGTGTCAGGGTTCGGTCAAACGCGATCATTCTGGATGAGTCCGTTTGTGAACAATGGCCACGCGTAACTGCAAAGATGATGCTGATAAACGTGGGCAGACAGGAAGCCGCTAATGAGGATTTTGTTTCCTACGTGAAAACCTAGAGCTAAACCTAAGAAACACATCTTTCTCCATTCATTGCAATTCCTTTGGACGAAATCTGGTCTCCTTCACAGGACACCACCGCAATACACATGTAATACTTCTCAATGAGTTTGTTTCTTTTTCGTGGAGTTCACCATTTGAAGTGACTCGCTAGCAATTCTGATCTAAACCTGATTTCGGCTATATGTGGATTCTTTTCTGGGACAATGTACCGAAATTTCAAGATCAACTGTTCGCCGACTGAACACAACACCCCCTAGGGGGCTGAATGTGAAACATTCGCCCCGTGGTATAAAAGCGGTGACCAATGGTGTGCCGTATAGACATTTGAGCTTTTCAGTCAGCATTGATTGGCTTTGTACACGACGTAGGTAGTGCACTGTACCGGTGTCTTCGCCTCGTCTGAAGTGGACACGTCATTACGCTCACTCGAGTGTTGGATATTTCAACCGAGAGGTGTTTACAACGAATCCCCTTTCGTTTGATTTTCATGTCGACCATGGATCGCGAAATCAGAGTGTTTCTGCGGTTTGTGGGAGCATCGAACAAAGAGGAGCACACAATTTGGCGGACGAAAAACAATGGAACATTGGCATACGAGGGGTTCTAACAGTCTGATTGTTGGACAAGGAAAATCAAATCAGTGACATTAAGTTTTTCGCCTCGTACCAGTATGACGAATTATAGCTGTATGGAAAGGAAAGCTTTCCACCACGATCGTCGTTTATCCAATAAGTCGACATTTGGACAAGTTCACGCTAATCCGAAGCACAGATTTCCTGCAACAATTCCATTGAAACCTCACCTTCCCGGTGGTAATCCACACAAAATGGAACAATAATGTGCCAACAACTGGATCCAAGTAGCATATCCGTCCCATCCGCATCACGTGATCCCACTGTTTACGAGGATGCAACTGTATTGCGCCCCAGAATGAATCAGTATATAAACATGGGCAACGGAGTGACGGGAATCAAATACAACCCACTGTTCGAGTGAGCAAATCGTAGAGATTACATCAGGAAGGACCTTCGTCAACTTCATTTGTCAACAGCAACTCACAATGCAATTGAATGCACAAACACTCGTTCTCGTTCTGTTCAGTCTGAGTACATTCCAATCGGGCAGTGTGGATGCGTCCTGTTGTTGTGGATGTCCAGACGTGTTCGATCATTTTCTCTGCAATGCTTTGAGCTGGGCAAATCCAATCGAACCGAGACCTCCACAGACGAATGTGGTGTTCGAAGCGACACCACAAGTCAAACAATGGTTGCTTGACAATATGATCAATTATATTTGTGCCGTGCCAAACAATCTGTTCGTCGTGTTCATCAAGTCGGTCAGCTCGTCACGGAGTTACATCACTCAAGTGGTCCGTATCGATCCGCGTCAGTATGTGCGATGGAACTCGACTTTGTTGAATCCATTCGGTTCGCCCACTTTCCATGCTGAAACACCGTATTTGTTATTCAGCAACAAGAAACTGCCCGTGGTTAAAGACTCGAGTAAATTGGATTTGGGTTCGATGCCCGCACTGACCACGTTCATTCCGTTACGCGATTTGACTAGCACAATTGATACGGTCTACCGGCGTTGGGTGAATTTCACTGAGCAAGCCAATTCGACCACGACCGAGCCGATATTGTGTTTGCGTTTGGAGTGGTTAGACTACTTGATTCAATATATTGGATTGCTTTGATTGTCGGGGTGAATGTGGAGTGAAACTGTGGTGATATTTGTGGTGTTCTTTCGAGTTCTGAATCTCTCATTGCGTCTCTGTATGGGGTGGGGTAGGGGAAGAAATTTTTCTAATCTCTCTAACTGTTCTATTTTTGCCGGTTTAATTTTAATAAACATTTTCTATTCAATGAATAGTTTGTTCACTTGTGGTTTTGAATCCTATCAGGCTATATCTGTCTATGTTCGCCCGATAAATGTTTGCTTATCGAACATACCCCATAGGCATCTTGTCGTTAATGCCGCATGACTGGACAGCCTTGACCTAGCAAACGCATTCACTCCGTATGGAATGACGCGGATATCATCTGAAACCCGAGGGAACTTTAAAGTAGAAGCTGATGAAAATCGTATCGCGATTTTATAATGATCCATTGCTTAGATGCAGATTAATTAGGCAATATTACTTGTCACCTACTCACACGATTCTGAACGGTTTCTCTGCTCTCAGTTTTGCCAATGTCATATACCGCTGGTCTTTCAGTCGCGGATCACGTGATCCCTAGTTGAGAATGTGAAATTTGACCCGTTCTGTGCGTTGAATGTTGTTGATTCGACTAATATCGTTGCACAGCTTGTGCCCTCATTCTTCTAGTGGGACTAAGATGGTGTTTTGTCAAATAGAACCGTTTGCGCCCTCCCACAGTCATGTTGTACCCCATGTGGTTAGCATCCTCTGTGTGCTTCCGAACAGAAGGCCCTAATTTGAACGTCTTGATCCACACAAGCTTGTCGGTTCGATTTACCAACGAACGACTGCTGCATGTTGCGGGGCAAGTTAAGGAAGGAGTTGTTCTGAACTGCAGTGAGCGGCAGTGAAATCACTTGGAATATCGGATTCACTCGGGGTAGGATGAGGAACGGTAGATTCATATTTTTGTTGTGGTAGCACTAGTCTGTCAGATGAAATGCTCCTCTCGAGAAGTAAACAGTGATTCGACAGACTCATTAACCGAACAGTCCTGTTGAAATAACTTTGCACGATCTTCGTCTATTCCTGGGAGCCACAAATGGGTGATTGTGTCAGTCCAAACGTACACTCCACAATACAATTCTCTTCAGCAATCATGTGACGGATGAAGCATACTCACATCATTTTCTACCCGACTATTCTTTTTCCCCGCCTGTGCGGTTTCGATTAAGGGTATTCTGCTGAAGCGCTCTCAGTTGGATCATGCAACACCGCATTTTGGCCACTTACCATACTTGGGATCTCAATTTTCACGGTGATTTGTCGATCAGTCTTGAACTCTCCCATGTGGTTCACCGACTGCAAACTTATTCTACGTTGTCACCCAATCGTACGAATGCCAATTTCAATTCAACCACAATCTGCAGATCAATTGCCTTCATAAGCAGTGCGTCCCCCCTCCTGACCTGTTTGTCACCGTGACAGCAAACTGACATCATTTATCAGTTGAAGTACTAAGAGTGCCTTTCTTGTTTGGTGTGTAACTGGCACAGATTACCCGCCGGGATTTCTTCCGGGACTTCTTTCGAGTCGGTATAATTTTTAAATAAGTCTTAAATTTTTATTATATCTTTTTAAATAAATGTGTTGTTATATTTGTTTGAGATATAGAAGTGTAACTAACCATCTATGCACCGTGTGAAATGATAACCCAGGCAGAACACGGGGACACTCGGCCGTCCTTTGAGTGTTCCCTCGTGGACACTCGCTGATTCGAGATTCAGTCACCTCAGCTGTAGTCATGATTTTAGATGTGTCAAGGATCTATGAGGCTAACGATCAAGTAGATCGAAAAAGGAGCATGAACTGAATGATCAAAATCAACTACTTCTTTACTATGGAACTGGAAATTTCACTGTAAACTGTTTCCCAGAGTGTTGATGTGTCACCTGTATCGTTATGTATTGAACAAAAACACTTTTTTCGTAGACCATCCATCTCTGTTTTCCTCGGTTTGAAAGCGGCTTTGGACTCAGTCGACCGCTCCAAAACCTGGAGCTGCTTTCCCTGAAGGGCGTGCCCGAGAGGTTTATTTCAATATTACGTTGGCTTTATACTAATAGCCGAAGTCAAATCCTGACTTACGACACTTTTTCGCCCGATTTCACCGTGTTCGTCAGGGTTTCCCTATATCTCCGCTTCTACTCAGCTTTAATATAGATTTGCTTGTGAAAACAGCCCTATCCTCGTGCGAGAATAGTGGCATCGATTTAGTTCAAGGTGCAGATTGTCTGATCTACAGTATGTAGACGACATTGTGCTTCTAAGTGAATATTCAGGCTAATTGCAAGCTTCTCCGGATAGTTTGAGTGCTAATGTAGCCTTGTTCGGCATGCATTTTCTAACTTCAGAGTGTAAATGTTGCGACAAGATAGGATTGGTTCAGCTTCCGACCTCTTTTTGACTGGGGAGGTAGTAGAGGAAGTGGAAACGTTTTGCTATCTGGGCAGTTATATCTCACCTGGGGGACAAATCGCAGATGGAGTGAAGTCACGCATACTAAAGCCTCGGCTGGCATTTGCCAACTTGAAACATCTGTGGCACCGTCGCGACATCCGGCTATCTATGGTGGGTCGAGTATATGTTGCAACAGTTCGGTCAGTACTGCTATACGGTGCAGAGACTTGGCCACTACGGCAACAGAATAAAAGTAGATTGTCAGTGTTCGAACACTGCTGTTTACGTCGCATTGCACGGGTCTGGTAGGGTAACCGGACGAGCAGTGCTGAGATTAAGCGTAGCGTTTTAGGCAGTCACGTTGGTCCACTGGAGCAAGTGATCGACCTCCATGGATTACGTTGTTTGGGAAGTGTGTTATGCATGTCACAAAATAGGTTTTTAGGGCGAGCGATGTTTGCCGAGGCAGGTAACGGTTGGAAAAAGATCAAGGGTGGTCAAACAAAGACCTTGTATGAAAGTATGAAAACCCTAACTAGGAGACTAGGTCAGATGGGCCCTGTTAAGTTCCCTGGCTGGGGACACCGAGACGATTTTCACCGATAGTTAGAGACACTGAGTGATGCGGCTGGGTGTCGTTCGTACATTCACTCATTATTCTCCTAACACCACTCCATGTGAATTCTCTATCTTCCGCTTGAATTGGCTTTCAACATTCCAATCTTCTTTATGCTGTTCTATCCAAATGGGGTACCAAAAGACAGTAACCAAAACCGGCAGGCGAAATTACATGATTAATGGTTGTAAAACCTGAACTGAACTGAACTGTACTAATTATTGGACTCCATTATTCATTGATCAATGCATTGCGACCGAAGAAACAATAATTCTTCCACACCTATCTCGGAGAAGTTTGAGGCTTTTACCTTCAACTGCAGGACAACCCAGTCCGGTTCGCTGGAGACGATTTATAGTCCAACGCTATTAGAGCTGTCAGGTTTGTGTTTTCGGCGCGATTCCTTGGTTTCTCGAATTTCTCAAAGTATCTCTTCTTAAAGGTGCAATTTTGTGGTTCTTTATTTGGTCTGAAACATGAAGGCTTACCCCAAGGAGTCCTTCGATCGAACAATCATCTATAGTGTGATAAACCCACGCTCTTATCGGATAACTTGTATCACAGTGGAGCCTCCCTTTTGGCTGAAAAATTTAATTTTACATCCTAGTCATAGTTAGTTCTGAGTAGTAGTGTTTGATAATTTGTATGGATTTGAACCATCCATTGTTTAAATTTCACTTTCCCACACAATTCCCACTTCTTCAAGTCATCCATACACTCAGAAACACTAGACTCGAGTTTCACTCTTGTTAGAACTCATCAGTAGTGCATATCCTCCGTCCCGACCCCACCCCTCTTTGAACTCCAGACCCATCGGACATGTAAGGGGTGTGTGTGTTGCCACTGTGCCAACCACCTCATACTAGGGTCGAACTGAATAGTCAAAGTTATGTTTGTTCTAGTGTGTCTTCACCGATAGCCAGACATTTAATTTGCGATCCGGCAGCAAGGAAGGGAGATGCATTGATCATCGGAGAAAACCAAACGTGTCATCGGAGCTGGAAGCTACGCTGCGGTTATTTTGATCACGAGGTTTCCAGTTTCAGTTTGTAAAATCACTAAGCATGTATTAGCGTGCACCGGTTTTGGTTGCTGTCCTTTGGCTGCCCATTTGGATGAGCATTAGGGGAAAGCCAGGAAAGGTTGTAAGTAGGATCCACTGGTCCTGATTAAACTTGACAGACATTGTTGCATTTTCACACATAACCTCTACGGTCCAACCACGTTTATTTCTACATGAGATATAAATACGCACACATAACTGTAAAGGCCTGAAGACGAAGTTACGAAAACAAGCTTGTTAGCCATATTATTTTGCTTTTGATATTCATATGGGAATCTTCCGTGAAATTTAGAATTTCAGTGGACTAATGTCGAAGAGAAATTGAGAAGATGCACGAACGCCACTGTTTGCGACACCCATCCATATCACTAAGTGTCTCTAACCATCGGTGACCATCATCCCGAGGTCTTCAGCCAGGGACCCTAACGGGACCTATGTGACCCAGACTTCTGGTTGGGGTTTTCATGCCCTCATGCAAGATCTAAGTTTGAAAACCGCTGGCTTTTTTCCACCGACTACCTTCCTCGGCGAACATCGTTCACCTATTTTGTGATATGCGTCACACATTTCCCAACCAGCTTAATCTATGGAGGTCGACCACTTGCTCCAGTGAACGACCCCGATTGCCTAAAACTTTTCACCTGACCTCAACATTGCTCGTCCGGCTGCCCCACCGGATTCGTGCAATGCTGCGTGGACAGCAGTGTTCAAACACCGATAGTCTATCTTAATCCTGTTGCCGTTGTGACCAAGTTTCTGCACCGTATAGCAGTACTGGCCGAACTGCTGCAGCATACACTCGACCCTTCATAGACAGCCGGATGTCGCGACGGTGCCATAGATGTCTCAAGTGGACAAGTACCCATTGAGCCTTCTGTATGCGAGCTGACACTTCACCGGTGATGCATCCACCAG